GTTAGTGCGGTCAAATCTGAAACTGAATCTTTTGATTTTACCCTTTGTAGTGCTATAGTATTTCCAATCACGGTGGGACATAGGGATTTCAACAGAGCAATCCAATTTTCAAATTTACTGCACGCCTGTGCACAACGAAGTTTTTATATTCACCTTTCATCCTCATGAAAATAACTGACATATGATGCACATTCATTACAAAAGACAACTGACAAAAAATATTCATGTTTAATGCACTACACACACGACTACATAATGATACACTGAGCTAAGGATCAGGCTCGTTATTCAGAAAGTCCTGAAACAAGATGAATCGTTAATGAAACTACAACGATGTAATGGAAGCCTAGAAAGAAGAGGGTGATACGGATTTATCTATACATTTATGATTGACCTTGACTGACAGCTTAGAGAGATGTCCCCACTAATCTCATGTTATGTCTTCACTAACTCTATGTTTAAGTAATGATTTGGAAATGTCAGTCACAGTGGTGTTCTGAAACACTGAGCAAGCAGCATTTGGTCTGTAGAATTTCCATTCTGACAAGTTGTAAAATAAAGATGCAAAAAGTTTAAACCTGTATTAACCAATACATTTCTGATGGTATATTTGTGGTTAGAAGCCCAACTTAACGTTCACATCATAAATGTCCAAGGAAAAGTTTAACAACTGCAGTCTAAGCATAATTAAAAGCTCATCTTTCAATATATTTGCATGATCATTCAAATGCTGTTTTTTCCCCAATATCATTAGTTTACATCTGCAATTAAATCTGTATTTACCACCAATATGATACAGCCTGCTGTATGCTGTAAGTGTGACAAAAATGAAGACAGACTTGTACTGCATCCAATACCTTTCATTAAATCTAATAGTACACTTTTACTCTTATTTTTTAGTTACAGGCAGAAGCTACACTAACTTTCTTTGCTAACTGCCATAACAGAAGTAAATTAACTGTCCTTCTAACGTGCTGTAATAATCTATACCTGCATTTCAAAACATCTTTAAAAAGGAAGATAGAACTTTTGGATTGGCAACTGATTTGTGGACAAATAAGTCTGTCAGGTAAAATCACCAACGGTGCCCGAGCTTCAGAAACAACTTGAGCTGCAAAAGCAGCATTCAAACATTTTGACAACAGCATCCTCAAAACAAAAGCAAAATACAGCCCTGGCTGCCATTACAATTTTTCTTTTTTTATGAGCCTTACTTAACATATTTAAATTACATTAATGAAATATTACAGTAATGTTGTTACTGCCAAAATTCCCCATTCCCCTAGATTTGTGGTTGACAGGAATGTGCACAATTAGTGATTAACACAATACATAAGTATTACAATGGATCCTAAGCAGTTTCGTTACCAGAAAAAGACACATCCTGCACTGTTCTATTCAAAATCAGTCTTAAAATACTACTGCGTGATTCCCTTACTCCGAATATGCAGAAAATATACAGGAGCTATTCGAAACGTGTTGTTTTCCCAACTATGTAAATAAATTTAAGTAGTTAAACTGTAATACAAGACCGTTTAACAGGTTTCTAGTAGTACTATTGTGTAAATAGTGTTATCGTAAATGGTTTATTTTTGGTTCAGTATTGATCCTCTTTGAAACTGTTGCACTGTACAATCAATCTGTTGTGAGCAACCTAATTACTTATAACGCGAACACACGCATTCTGACACATCACTATGCCTGTGATACAGTAGATAACAGATAATGTTACAAACCTGCAACAGCTAGACTGGAGTCCCTGAGTTCAACTAACTGACACAACGTCAAAGAAACTCAAGTACTGTGGACAAATTGAACTGAGAAAAATAAACCTGTATATACTTTACCTGCCAAAACCAAACAGAAACAAAATCTTAATTCACATCTCTAACAAACTACCTAAGTTGTGAAAATATTGAATCATGTAATTTCACATATGTACTATCTACAGTGTTAATATACCATAAACACCGACCTTCTGCACATCAGCCTGCAGACACAATCTACATCCTACCAACTGTGTAAAAGCCACCGGGTGTTTAGCACCCAGCTAAAACTTTTTATTTAAAAAACATGGGAAAGAAGAAACACAATCTTTCATGCCCAGAAGTGATTAAAAGGCTTTAACTGAATTAAGTATTGCGATTACATGCACCAGATAAATGCATTCAATTCTTTTGTCTTCTTGGAGTAAATAGGTTTGCCAAGCTTTAACTTTCTTGCCCCCAAGTTCAATGTTTAATGTAATGTGTTCCCAAGAAGTATGCCAAATTAGTGTGCTTAATATATCCATCACAAAATAAACAGAGCATTGGTTCAGAAATGTGGGAGACTGACTACACTTTTCCCCATGAAGTTTCTAACATTTCTGTATCGGAGGTGTCACTCTGCTTTTACTTTTAGCAAATTATATATTACAAAGAGAATGAAAATCACTACTTTTCATCGACAAAACAAAAGGTGACTTATTCACAGAAAAACTACAACATAAAACATGAGAAAATTTAAAGGACCTCAATTATGTGGAAAACAGACAGAAACAATGAAAATCAGTAAGCCAATCCTACATTCAAAACCTATTGCTTCCAGGATAGTGGGAGTAATATGGGGCTTATTTCTAGACTTAAAATTAAATTTTATATGATTCCCTGTCATACCCTTACAGGAAAAGTGCAAAACTAAAGGCCACATGTACATGAAAATCTAGCCTGAACTAGTTAGGTTCTTCAGCTGTCATAAAATTATGTTGTTTTTTTTAAGTGTAGAGACAAGTTTTCTGTTCTTCCTGAAATTCCTTTCAAGGATTGCCTATCACTATATCACAAAATTGATCATTCCTTTTGGGAGAACCCTCAAATGCTCACAGTGTCATTCTAAATATAAGCAACTATGTGGCGCTTAAGAGCTGTATTTCTCGCCTACGTTCTGTAACTCTAAATGCATTTTGTCACATCACATTATTCCAAAACTTTTACTGCAGTAAATTTTCAAAAGGCCACCCTTTTTATAGTTTCCACCAAAATAAATGAAATTACAGCAAAGTGAGGATTTTGCCTGGGTACTGCGGCTACAGTTCTGTGTCTTAGCATGGAAAGAAACTATTGCATAACCTTGTACACAGAATCACTACTTTTAACCACAAAGTGTCCAAAATAACAGTTGCTATGGCCCTAAAGACTCTTACATAGCACAGATGCCGGATTTTAAACCTTAATATTATTATTTGGTAAACGTCACAGCTTACCATCTGCTATAAAGATGGAAGGACTTACTTCTTCAGCAGCTACACCAGCAGTGTTCATAAAACCCACATGAAAGACCATTAGGAATGCAAAATCTGTTACTGTCATGCACGATGCTTAACTTTCATTTCAGCTCTAAGAATTGCATACTTTCACTTCTCCCATAACACCTAACTTTTAATAGAAAAAAGGCCCTTTTCTACTATAAATTGGGCTGCAACTTAGCAAAATCACCGTTGTGCGTTCTGTATTACCACATGAACATCTGAGAACGCGAGTTCCATCATGAAGAACTTCTCGAGTTGTCCAAAAAGTTAAGGCAGTAAAATTACCCAAATCTGTAACATTTGCACAGAGAGATTCTGAATAAAATCAGGACCTGGAAGAGGCCAGAGTCTGTTACAGCCAGTACGATATAATAAATATGCATCCTAAAAACACCTTCAAGACACCTTTCTAAACCTAATATGTGTACTAAAACAAACAGACAGACGATATCTCCAATGACTTTCATAACCCTGAGATTTAAAAAAAAACACAGTATAATCAAATTCTTACAGCATTACAGCAGGGCGATAAATCTTACACAGCCGTTGTTGGAAATCACCAGAATACCAGTGCTATCATATCCAATGATTCATCAGATATTAATCTGCAAATGGAATCTGGAGCCCTCTGTTGTTACATTGTCCTGTGTTCCAGAATATGTATAAAGAAGCTTTATACATTCTGGCACTTTATACAATGTTTTCCTTTTGATCAATCTGTTAAGTAATGCAGGTCTATTTCTCCATACAAAACAAATGAGGTTTGCTAGTACTGGCCAACATTTTAAAGGGACATCTTTTAGAACTTCCAAAAACTGGAAGTAAAGGGCAATTTGCAACGAATCTTAAATTAAGCACAACCTAGCTGGAGAACGCAACTGCAAAAGAATGTGTTGAGGCCCAATCTCTGGCTTCCTGTCGCTTAAATGGCCGTCCTGTAAAACTTGACGAGCAGGTGTTTTAAAACTATTTTCAAAGCATAAGCAGGTTAACAGATGCATGGGAGGAAATTATTCTCTGTAGAGACGTCTGTATTTTGCACACAAGCCTAGGGTTTTCTTCCTTTAAAGACACCAAAACAATCTTCCGTATTCTTCCAATTTTCAAAACATTTTGAAGGGCCACCTGGAACGATCCAATGAAGCAAATTTCGCTTTGCACAGCGATATTTTGTGAAAGTCCTTCATACTTGTAAAATTATAGATACCTCGGAACGCGATGGAACAGATCAAAGCACTGCCTTTTAAAAAGTATTTTGCATTGCGTTTGAAAAACAATTCAGACGGCGCACAAGTGACAGAAGCAAAGATACGTTTGTACTGGATTTGTAATGTGATTATACAGGTCAGGAGGTTTAGCAACGGTCGAAGGTCAGTTCAGGCGGTTGTGCTTCCCGTATCACTCATCACATCGATCCGAAATTCATAACTGCACAACTGGTTTGCCCATGTAAAGTACAAGACATGCACAAAAACGCAAACTGCAATAACAAAGCGAAATAAAAAAAACGACACCGCGACTTCTCGTTTACCCAAAAAAAGAAAAGGGGGTATTTCCGACTAAAAACGCAAACTATCAATATGTAAACTCACGTCGTAAGAAACAAAAAGAGCATTTCAATTTAGCTGCTGTAGTAGAAGACAGCTACAAAACAGATCTACTATAAAAAAAACTACAGTTAAAAGAGCGGTCATTAATAACGAAACCATACCTTTTCTCAATTCGTTGTACCATACTGTAACGATGATCTTGGAGTGTTTCCTGTGGTGGATTAGCCATAACGACAAGGTTTGGACGCTTTGCTGTGAATTACTGAGTTCCGAGAGCTTTTTTTCTAATGCAGCTTCTGAAAACGCGGACATTTTACCCTACCGAAGCCAGAGAAAGACTGATCGGTTTTAGGTTTACAGATCCCCCTTCACCAAGTCAGGAAAATAATGTTGCTGCAAGATGGGAATGGTAATAGGGACTTCGGCGCATGTTTTGATGACGTCAGCAGGACGAAACCACAGCTCTTCGCCTTGAAGAAGGGATTGACGTCATTATTATCGGCGGTAAAAATTCCAATAGTCTTTAAGGGGAGAATATCAACGCCTTTGCTTTCGTTAATAAAAAAAAATAGAAATAAAAAATGCGCTTTTTGTTCGTAACAAGCAAAAACAATATTACACAGTATGTGTTCAACGGTGTCAGGAATGTCTATTAAAATATGCAAGAAAATTCAAATGCACACATCTATAGAATAGCGGCACGGTGTTCCCGTAGGTAGTGTTGCTGCTTTGCGGCGCGCTAGGTTTAATTCCACACATGGGGTGGTATCTGCGTGGAGTTTGTATGTTCTCCCCGTGTTCGTCTCCATGGTAGGTTAATTGGCTTATGGGGAAACTGGCCTTGGTGTAAATGTGTGCGTATCTATTTGTGTGTCTGCCCTGCAGTAGACTGGCGCCCCAGCCAGGTGCACCCCTTGTTTTCAAGGGTAGGCTCTGGCTGCCCCGCGACCCTGAAATGAAACAGGCGGTTAGAAAATGGATTGATGTATATTGACAGCAGAATAGCACGACGCTAAGGATTAGTCTACTGATCACTATCTTCAACAATAAACTTAATGGAAATGGACACTAGATAAAAATATTAAAGATGGTGTTTAAATTAATCAAAGAGTGTGGTGCTCATATAGTTATTCAGTAAAACGATATTTCTGTTTCACAAATATAAGGACTTTTTCAAACTTCTTCTCTTGTCTCTCAGTGTCCTAGGATTAAGGAACTATTTGAGACATTCAGCAGCAGCGGATGAGTAAAATTAAAGGTGAATTTTCCCAATATCAACTTGGATAATGCCGTTGTACAAAACATAAAAATAATAGGTGTGTAGCACTGCCCTCATGTTATATTAGCATACAAAAGAAGGCTTTTTTTTTCAAAAGGGTTAAATGTGACATGGGTGAAAGAGCAATTCTTTACACAGCACAGGGTAAATGAGAATGAAAGCAAATAAAAATGGAGGACACTCACTTTGCTTTTTAGCCAGTTGTTTCCATTCACTCATCCTAGCAGTTTCTTGAAGGAAACCAATGAGTCTGCTCTAACATATGTCCGGGTTTATTCTAGATTCCACTACTCATTATTTTAAACAGGACCTCCTGTTTTCAGTCTTAAACCTGTGTACTCTTATTTCCCCTTTTATATCTCAGGTCTTCTTTCATTCTGGAGTTTAAAAGAACCCTCTTTGGTTGACATTATCAATAACTTAGAGGGGTTTGATTGTCTGACACATAGCAAGGCCTTCCTGCGGTATATTACAATGTCCCACTGGTATAGTGGTTGGAGGTTCATACATTATTCTCATGTAGACCTCCAATGAAAAATACAAGAATGCCACATTCCAGACCTCCAGGCCCGTTTCTGCTAGCAGGGACAAGTCAGATTGCAGCTTATTCCCTGGTTGCAACAGAGTCTTGACATGAATACCATCAAACACATCTGGGAACATACTTAAAAGCTCTGGAAAAGTAGACTCCATTCCAGTAACGCACAATACCTACAGTTACAAACCTCTCAGATTTGGCAGTATCTGTATAATAATTCAGTGTCTTCATGCTTTCAATCACTGAATGAAGCCAAAGGGCATGCTACTATATTTAAGGAAGAAGTTATCTATATGATTATAGTCATATCACCTGATGTTAAAATAAATGTTTTTCACAATGAGAGGTTTGCTTTGTTTTACGATAGGGCAGTATACAGTATATGGTGAGGGAACGAAATGATGTTGCTTCCAGGCTAAAAAGTAGATCGAAAAAATAAGGAACAAGCAAAGGTTTATCCCATGCTGAAAAGAAACAATGTTTCAGCTGTGAAGCCATCTTCGGGTATTCCTTTGCAGCCTATGCATGATGATGCAGCTATCTACAAAAAAAAAGACATTACATTGACTTTTCTGCATCTTTTTACAGGGTTTCCAGACTGAAGACATCAGAAGATAAAGTTAACCTAAAACTAGGATCACACCTTCCATCAGCTGTCAATGATGAAATAATTTATTGTTAAAAGCCTCTCTATTCATTTACAGATTACAGTTTTTCACACCTGGCTTGGAATCCATTCACCCGATTTCCATCCATCTGTCTGGACACTGTTGTGTTGTCCTTTGTTCTCCATTACTTCATATCCCAACAGCCTTTCTCTCTCTCATTCACACCTGTAGAGAGCTGAACAGCTGAAACATTGTGTTTTTGTGTTTGGGCTTTTCAGGGTCACCCTAACCTATACTTGTCCTTTTACAGTGTGCATTCTGGTACAACTCCCCACTCAAACCTCTTTATATAGTGACAGACATACAGTACTTAAGAAACAACAATGCACTGAAGTGATTAATCAGATTGGGGGGAGGGGGGGATCCAAATATATCCTTAAAATTGATGTTTTTTTTCTATGTGCTGCATTGTTCCTTAGGAAACGTAAGATATCTGGAACATATTTGATATTGACTCATTAACAGTGATTACAGCTAAGCATTCACTGAATATAAATGGCTGTATTTAGCACTAAAATAACATGTTCTGTTAGTTTACATTGATGTGCCTCTTTGCTTAATTGACAGCTTAGATAATTGACAACTTTGTGCAGTAGGGGACTTAAAATTACTTCTGCGTGTAGTTTGTTAGATGTTGGTGATTAAGAACTAATTTGGACTCCTAATCCATACACAGTGTTTCCCTTGGAACCAGAACAAAGTCATGTCATGCCAGTTCTTTTTGTGAGTGCTGTTGGTTTCTGCACGAGGCAGCACACAAAGTGGTTCATCAACATTAATGGAATAAATATGGTTTCAGAAAGTGAAAATATAGTTATTGGTGGTCTTCAGGCTCTGTGATCTAAAAAGCTAGGAAAACTTTTCTGACCACATTTGAAAGTTTTGATGAAAGACTTTATTTGGTTTAACATAAGGCTCTGTCAGAATAACCACAGTACTGTAGTGTAAACAGTGTATGTTTCAGTTAGAGTTGTGTAGAGTACAGAGCCAGAGAGAGATGAAGTTTAAATTAGGCATATTGTCAGCTATGATGACAATTATCCAAAATAACATGTAATTAATTTCAGTTTAAATTAACATGACTTGCTAAGGCTACATTAGTTATACACAATCAATAATAAAATCCCATTCAGATTAGCCTGTTAGCACTGATTCCAAAAAGAGAAATAGAATAATGTGTTTCCCATTCGTTTAGTTATCTTATTTAGATTTAAATACAGGAAAATAACTACAAAGAGCTTATCTATAGCAAAGCACAATGTTTTATCATTTACATAGAATACTTAGTATAAAAGGTGAGCTTTCACAAAAAGAGTGGAATTTTATTTATTGTAAGTTTATGATCCTCTTTTGTTGTGATTGTAAACAATTTAAGGCACTAATTTAGAAAATCTATGAGAAATAACTGATCAAATTAATGTAGTATCAAATAGGCAAAGTTAGTGCAGAGTGCAAACATAATAAAAGTTAAATTAGCTCAAATCTGCTCAGCATGAACTGTTACTTACTAAGCAAAGCATTGTTTCTATTCTGAATACTTTTTGACTTATCACATTTTAAATTGTATTTTATATTTTAAAGGCTACAGGAAGCTCTTTTAAATGTAAAAAATGTCACGTCACCTTCATAAGAACGATTTATTCTGTTAACCACATTATCAGCAGAGCAACTAATTTACATGAAATAGGATTGGATTGTAATACACAAAACTGCCCTGAAGAGGGCAGCCTAGCTGTACAAATAAAACTATAATTGAATGCATACTGAAACGTGATGAAAAAGTCTGTTCCTATTACTGCTGAAATCAGAGTCAGGGAACTAGTTGATATCCCCAAATTAAATAACCATATTAAAAAACAAATTTGAATAAAAGAAAAAAATCCCTAGGGTTCCATATTTCATACCATCTACCTCCTACATACGTTTGGGCCCGTTTTGGAACCTACCCTTACTGTATGTCACCGTAGCCTTTTTTCTTAATACAGAAACATAGGTTTAATGTTGCGTTAAATGTGTAAAGAGGGCTGCACTGTAACTTAACGATAGATTTATTCAAAAAGTAAGACAAAAAATATCAAATTCCATGACCTTTGATTTCACAAAGCTTAAAACGTAATCTTTTATTTTGTTAGTGTTTGATATATCATAGGCTAAACCGTTATCTTTATTGTTTTGTAAACTACATTTTGTTTATACTGTTGGCTGACACAAAGTATAGAACAGAAGGTAATGTGCCACGCAAGTAATTAAACTATTGAAAATGACTGTAAATGTTCAATTTGAGATCAGGCGTACCCACCTGTTAATTACTAGCTGCAGTGAACTGTTTTAGCTCCATCAGATTTTAATCTTTTTATTTACCAAGATGTCATTTTTTAATTTGTCAGTTTATTTACAAAAAACATGTAATCGCCTTATATGTGCAACGCACAATATTAAATAAATGCAGAAAAAAACATTGCATTCATATGAATGAAAACTCTCAAAACATTTTTTCTAAAATACCTAAAAAATTATTTATATATCATGGTCTGAGAATTAATAAAATGCCAAGTATTTCATAAACGGAAGATTGTAAATGGACTCATAAACATTTATTACAGTGCACGTTTTGCATGTTGGCAATATCTTGTTGGATAAGCTACTTTTATTTTGCGTATTCTTCTAAGCTATTTAGTTTTGCTTGAAAAAATACATGGTTACATGGAAAAATAATGTACATTTGATGCCCCAGTTGTCTACAAAATGCATGGTACAATTAACAGGAAGGGTGCCCTAACCTTCAATACACGTGACTTAAATGACCTGTACACGTGCCCTGTTCAAAATCTTTCAAATAGAAAACTCTCAGATGCAGTGATGAGAGTGCAGACGATCATTACAATTACAGACCAAAATTCTACAATGAGTTATTTCTTTCAGTTACCACCAATATGGATTGCAGCCATTTCCTGTAGCCCACTGAGCTCTCCTTTCCAGCCTGCCAAATTGCACTGCATGAGAAAAAATTGCTTGTGCTCATTTGTTGGATGCCAATCAAGAGCAATTAAAACAAATAATTGCGTTCACATTGCACAGCTCCGCTCTGCAAGATTTCACTCACATTCTCCAAATGACCAAAACCTCTGAATATACTGTATGGATCCCCTTTTCCTTTTCATAATGTCCTTACTTATTCCTGTATTTTTTAAGATGCGAAGACTTTGAAAATGTAATTAGATTTGAAAATGGTATGTTTTATAAATTGCAGGAGGCCCAGAGGCATAGTGATTGGTGCTCCTGGGTCCTTTGGTTCCTTGGATACGCGACACATCTTCTCTCCACAGCCATAGAGATCTTCACTGCTCCAGCATGCTGCCTGGGTTAATGTGCATCTCAGAATTGTGTAGGGGTGTATTGGGCACACTGACCCTATACTGGACTAAAAGGCTATTAATCATTGAATGATGGATTTACAGATTGCCACTTGTGACCAATAAACTAAAAAGTTAATTATTCTGCATCATACCTTAGGTCAGTGTAATCTACAGTAGCTATACTCCCGGAAGGCATTTGTGCATGCAGGTTTTCATTCGTAATTTAGCTCTTAATGACCTAATCAGCTAACTGGAGTCCTATAAAATTACGAGCATGAATAGAATAGGACCACTCCAAGTTAGATATACAGAAAGGACCTAAGATTTTTTAACTTTCAGTGTCAAGTGAGATTCACATACCCAAATACACATAATTTATCCTTTCTCTGCTTTATACTTACATATATACAAAAGCATAATAGAGAAATGCTATCACCATAGTGCCTCTAAACCAAATACATTATGTTACCTTTTAAACTAACCCATTATCATACTGTACATATTTATTTAAACCTCATATTCATGGTCTGAAAGTGGCTGGGACAAAAAAAAGCAGGTGGTAAAAAATTACAGAATACCAACAATATGAGTCCTCCAATGTATTATGGGAATTTTTAATGGAACTACTCTACATTTGGGGAAAAAAAGTGAATCCAATTTGCACATAAAAGTAGACCATCTCCCATGCTGAGATTGTGCAACAACAAGTTTTTCAAAATGCATCCGTCAATCTATATTTATTAGAGAACACAAATCCTACAGTGCAAATTCCTTTCAATAAGCTGGCAGGCAATTTTTTCAAATACCATCGCTACAATTATTCCTAGAACAGCAGTGGATTCAGAGTAACTGGTATGCAGACACAAACCAGTAGAGGTAAAAAGCGGTTCAGAGACCAGAGAGCACTGGTCTGCAACACCGACCTTTGAACAAGAAGAAACGGAAATTAATTCCCCGTAAAACATGACTTCAAGACTAAAGACAATGCCACTGCTTCCACAACTGAGGTGATCTGTCACTAGTATTTTTTTAAAAATAACGAGCAGCAAATAAACTTGAACTGAGCAGACACTCTTAAGTGTCTTAATTCTCTCTAATGATTCTTTAATTCCATGAACCCTGACGTTACCATTTTATTTTTTTGTTGCATGTACAGGTAAGAATAGGCTTGTAGAATCAAGGCACAGTTAGGGTTTATTTAACATTAACGCTCAGTTACATTAAAGATCAATGCACACTGAATGTGGTAAACTTTCTACAACACTTAATAATTAGGTTAAGACAATTTCATGTTAAAGGTTTGAGCTTCCATTTTAGGTCACAAAAATACATTCCATCGAAACTGCTACTTCATTTGAAATATTCCTCAGTAGAAAAATCTGCTCTGTAAAATTGTACACCTGAAAGCATTAAACTTAACTAAGACTGTTGTTAGCATTTATATTTAGATAATATCACAAACTCCAAGAAAAAAAATGTAATCACATTAATGTCAATGCATATCAGAAGTATGAGATGAGTTTTATTAAGGGCTATTGCCAAAATGTCATACAGTACTATATATTATCTGAGGCTGTGGGGTAGGGCACTACTTCACAGGCTTTTCATTGTTACAGGTCCTTCAGAGTGTCTGACCCCTGTGGGTTCTCCGTCCAGTGAGGTGGCCAAGAAGCCTTGATGCTGGGGCGCTCTTTTACCAAACTGTAGTATTCTGCCAGCTTTGGGTATTTCTCCTGGGAAAGCCTGAAAAAACATGTGATAATAAGATGAAAGAAAAGGAATAAGATGCCAGAATCTGAAAAAGTGGCAGGCTCTAATGTTTTTAAGGTTTTTTTTTTGTAAAATGTTCATCATACTAAAAAGCTAAACTGAATAAGATCCAAATTGTATTAAACCTTGCTAACCATGATCAAGTAGACAGAGAACTTGCTTCATAAAGAAGGCAACTAATCCAGAACCAGACCTCAATCCTCATTGGCCTTCTTCTTTCAGTGTTCGAAGTTTAGAGCTGTTTAACAGAATTAACTATTCACTTACTTATGACTTGTGAAAAGTCTTTTCCAAATTCAGATTTTAACATTGCAATGAAATTATAGTAAAGAGATTATCCTATCCTGAGTCCTGGCTGGAGACTAACTTCAAGGTGGTCATTTTAACTTCATGTGTCATTGCACTCCTTTTCCCCCCCCACAAAACAAATGGTCATTTATATTATTCCTAGAAAGCTTACCCAAAACGGAACACAAAAGCAATCTGGGGAATGAACATAACATCAGCCATTGTGAAGTTTTTGCCTGCCACATATGAGCCAGAATCCATCTAGGAAAAGAGAAAGAAAAAGTTTACTCCCCTCTACAGAATTAACCCCCTTAACATACAGTATCACTAGACTCTGCAATCTATCCAGGTGCGCAATCTAGGCCAAAAGATTTCAATCTGAAAAGATTTTAAAAAATATATAAACTTTCCATATTTTTCTAGGACACAGATTAGGTCAATCACTGCACTTCTCCCAGGACGCATGAAATCATTATGGGGAAACAGGTTGGAATGAAGCAAGAAAAGCAGTTCATTTTAAGATTACGTCCGTCATTGCAGCTCATCGTAGGTGTAAATATAAAAGGGTCTTACCAATAATTATTTGAGGAAAAAAGTTTTAAAAAAGTAAAAAAAAAAAGTTGTAGAATTGTTTGGCATGCTTTTTACATCACGGTCTTTTGGATTTCTTTATTTTCATGGTAAGCATGCTCCGATTTGCTTACATATATATTTGCATATATACATAATATTTGTTTTTCTAGCTAAAACCCAGCTTTAGTCTCCTAAAAATAAAGTCTGCAGATTTCCAGCTATATATAAAAGCTTATAAATACCTTGAAATCACCAACTGTTCAAGACCTAGAAATAATTTCGATGCCATTTTTCAAAATAATCAGGTAACAGAACACAGCAGGGATGAAAACCTGCCTTCTATCAATAGCACTTCAACTGTCCAGTTGTACAGGTAAAATGTTAGTGAATCATACTTTTTAGATTTTAATATTCTATTTTACCTTATGTTGTACAAAATAAGACTGAGGTTTTTTTCTACAACTATTTTAATGTGCAATTTGCTGTACGTAAAACTCCCTTCATTTATGTTAATTGTGACAATTATAAAACTGTCAAAGACATTTTAACAGAAATACATTTTAACTAGAATAATCTCTGGCTGCCTGATGACAAAGATCCAGGACTAGAGTGTATCTTGTGGTTTAAAAACCTACTGCTTAGTCAGAAAAAGGCAATCCAAACCAAGTCTTTGTGTCACTAGTGTTTTGTTTTCCACACTATATTTCAGTTGAACTCCCATTTTACTGAATTCTAGAACTTTCAAAAACGTGTGCATCTTCTAAAACATTGTAGATTATATCAGTAGTTTAAAACTGAAAAAATTAAGGAGTTAATAAGTCAGAGCTCAGTTTAGAAGTGTCACAAGCACTAAAAAAGGATATGTTTGTGTTGAATGAGGCAGGACAAAACTGTTTCAACTAATACTTCAATTACGTTGTATAGTGATTAAGCACCATAAGGCCCCATAATTAATAAAACGTATATTTGCTGGACTACTTCTAAAGACAAAAATTTGACACTTGGCCACGAAATGCAGTATCTGCAACTTCCCCAATGCCAGTTAAAGAAAAAGACAAAAGCATCCCCCCTCACATACTCCATTAGATTCTGGATTGCAAAGCAGTTAAACATCATTCAAGTGTGCAAAAAGTCACCTTCTGAAAGTATCCCTCCCAGATACGGAGTTCAGCAGCAAGAGCCTCTCTGTTCCTCTTCAGTGCAGAGTCATGGCGCTCGGCTTCAGGAACACGCCATGTGTAGAAAATGGCATCCGCTGGCAAAAATGGTAACAGCAGTGAAGCATCAGGTCTTCTTTAGTATATTTATAAGGGATTACAATATGGCATTGCTTCATTTGCTCTATACAATTTCCTGCAATGTACTGAATGTATCCAGAATTCACTGTTAAAAAAACATGCTTTCTTAGTAAAGTGACAAAAAGATAAAAACAAAGAAATCATGTAGTTCCTTGCATTTGGTCCAACAGCTACGCCTGTGCCCAACTCTGATTGAGAAAGCTCATGACGGGCAGGGTGTGACATTTGTTAGAGTTAAAAAGTATATATTTTAATGCTTAAAGGTATAAAATGATCTAAAATAAAAAATAACTTTTAGACCTTAACTTTAACTCTTAAGAATTAAATCTGTTAAATGCAACCAAAATGGGGAAAAAAACTTTAATCAATAGGATAGCAGCCTGTCAAACACTAGCACAATAAATCTTACATATAATGTAAACCCTTGACAAACAGGAAGTGTTATTAGCCTGTTTTTTGCTGATTCATTGTCCTGAGGGCTGGTGTCAGTTTGCTGTGGTACAAGTGGTGGGATGATTTGCATGAAAAAAAATGTTCTTGTTTCTCAGCAATCATTGCAATCCAACAAAATTCAAATAGTCAAAATAAGATTGCAACTAGAAATAAGTTACAGCCAAAGTCAAAGACAATAAGTTAAAGACAATGATCAAACACCCTATACTCATGTTCTTCTGCTAGAAGCTGGAACTGCAACTATTTACCATTCTGGAATGTTTAACCTAAAACCCAGGCATGGTGCTCACTCTAGGCAACCAGTCATGTATAATAAATGACATTCACTAGAAAACAGAGCAAAAACAAAGAGAAGAGTCCCACTGGAACACTCATTGCCCAGATGGAGTTCTCTACTCACGCACATTAGCAAACGGATATAGCTTTACCTGGAGACAGAAGGCATGTGTGGAGATAGAAACTTTGTAGTTATGTACTCAGGCTAAATAAACAAGATAGTTGATTACAAATAGCATTAAAAAAATTAAGGAAAATTTCCGCTTAAGGTACCTCAGTTTAATGCAGTAAAGAAGCTTGCATAGTCAACTTCGAAATTGTCTTAAGTTATTTTCAGAATTTCTCAGAATTCAGATTTGATAAGAAGGCGCCATTAGTTTTTGTAATGCATATCACTTATGAATTTGTGTTTCTTTAGGGAAACTTGGATGATTTCACCCAGTTTGACGGTTTCAAACTGCTTTACTATTCAAGGTGACAGCAGGGAGTGTTAACAGGTAGTGGCATAGAGAAAAACACTATTGTGAAAGCTAACAAACAACCTTTGTGCCAGATAGGAACACTGCCAGCAGTGACTTGCAGGTTTAAAGAGTCAAAAAGAAACTGATGAAACATAATTTTCTGGTTTATTCTATACTCATGATTGTGGCAAAGCTCAGCCTTTTAGAAATAAATGTAAACGGTCACTCATTCCACTAGATGAATTACAGTATTTCATTTTCGAATATACTGCACAATTTTGTCTGCAAAACAGATTTTGAAACAAAGCAAAATATTGTATTAAAACCAATAATGTCAGCAAAAATGACTTAATGTAAGAGCTCTTAAAGCGAAGTAGAGTAAACAAAACAAAGCAAAATACAATTCCTGAACTGTTTAAAGAATTTCCTAAATGTTCCTGTAAAATTAGAGCTGGGTGGTTCAGTGTCTCAATGGTTTAAAAAATAAAGCCAAAGTGTCTTCCTACTCAAACAGCTCAAACTGGAGATTCTGTTGATTACAAAACCAGAAAGTTAAAGCTATATTGAGGAGGGAAGCAGATTTTTTTTAAAGGACTTGACAGATAAACTGGAATATGCATCAAATCTGGATGAAACCATCCCAAAAATCTTTGGCAAGATCAAAATCAGTAGCGCATTTTGTGGATGGAGTCAGATGATAGTCACAAGACCATTTTGAGGAGGCCCCTTCGGAAAAGGAACATGAATCTTAAGGCATATACTGTATCTACAGTAGTATGCTTGCACTTAGGTTAAAATGTATTGCATTTTCCCCAGTGCCATTTTGCACCGATTAAAAAAAAAGATGATAAAAGCTGAACTTTGAGTGGTTTGAGGGGTGAAGGCTAAACAATGGAAAAAAGTTTAAGTGTTTTTATACCCTTAGATGTTGCTTTTGCAAAAATACCCTGGAGTTTAGAAGGAATAGATGTGTAAATTGATCTGCGTTAGAAAAACAATTATATGCATTGCTATGAACACTTGTAAAAAGCCCAGATTCACTTCTCCTCTGTTAGTTCTGCTATTTCTGTACTACCACTTACTGACAATACAGACCACAACACAGTGACAATAGGCGTATTACAGACATCTTTAACCAGAGAAATGTTTGATTGCAATTTCTCCCGATGCATCTGTCAAAACTATTACTAAGAACGTGTTCACTGAATTATAAAAATAAAAAAAAAACTCAACTGGCAAACTATTTGACCTGTTATCTATTAACTGGATTTTGGACAATGACACTGACCCTTAGATCAGCTGGATGTTGGCAAACATGAATCAAGTGCTTATTAGTGGAACTATTATTCAAGAATGTAGAATGTTGGGAGACCATGTAGATGAGAGAGGTCAAATTATGTGGAAATCATTCCCTCTTTCATAATGGGTTTGAGTGAAAGACAGGGGCCCTGTTTTGTGGGTACACAAAGATTGACCTTCCTCTCAGGCATGGGATAGACTTTCAACTTGTAGAAAAGTAAACTTAATGTTTAATATTACTTTAACAGAAATTAAAAGTATGTTTAGTATCGTACAGTAATGCACAACCCCTTATTGATGAAGATGCAATTTCATAATGCATTATTATAAAATCCTCCATGGAGAAACAAATTATAAGCATAAATCTCATTTAACATACTCACCTTGCTTTTGAATCTCAACTTGTAAATCAAGTGGCCTTAAACAGGAGTAAAATTGAATGGAGGATTGATGCAACAGTAAAGCAAACTCATGAGTGCCCAGCCACTTATGAAATCCGAGGCATGGTCAACTAATGACAAAGCCCAAACTCCAATCAATAATGGCTGACATCAAAGACTCAACCTATCAGTAGAGCCACTCTAGAGCTACATTTGGAATAAGACCAGAGGCTGCACTGTCAGACAGACAAGATTTTCCATTTCCAGAACAACTTGCTGGGCTTACCCATTTTCTCATGCAAAGTCATAACTTCAAACATCCTCTGGTAAACAAGAGCCTGCTCCGCTGCAGCATCTGGGATCAGCTGAGTGCCTTGGGACTTGAACTGATTCTACACAGAGAAGCAAATACATCAATAATATAGCAACACGGGAACAGAGAAGCAACGAAGCATAACTTGAGCTTTGAACAACAACAGAGAAAAACAAATGCTCAAGCCACCAGCTTAGAAATCTTAGGATTTCTGACTGAAGTTCACTAAATCCACAAATATTAAATTGATACAGTGGTTGATTCTGATTTATCAGCACAGCAGCTTAAATCTCCTAACTTTTTTTCTTCCAATTTAAAGAAAACTTAAGCTCACAGTAGGGGCTACCTATCATAAAGTCAAATACTTGAGAGTGGCTTTACATTTGTCTGAGGCTTCATATCAATCCAATAAAAACCCACCATCAGGTGTTTTAGAATCCCATGTTTGCATTTTTCTTCCCTTATAGTTTAGTAGGTTTGCACTACAGATCTTAAAAGAAAAATTATACCTTGAGAAACAACCTACAGTATCATGCAGTCCTCCAAACTGCTATTAAAAGGCCAAACAATTGTGAATTTAAACTATATGTACTGCATTTAATCTATATGCCCACTAGTTTGTAGCAGGTAAATAAGGGTTTTTTAACAGTAAAGCTAGAATTCTGTAACACCTTTAAAACATCAGTTTAAAAAGATCAGAATAATCTCTGATGATCACAAAACGTGAAAAAGTATTCTAAATAAGTGCTATACTTAATCAACCTTTTTTTTTCCTTTTCTATTCTTCGAACTTACCTCCAAATACAAACAGGCTCCATAAGATTCGTTGATTATAATATTGTCATGCTTGAAAGAAGGAAGCTAAAAGACAAAAATGGGAAACGGGAGCTGTGTAGTCTTTTAGGTTAAAAATATTCAAATATATACTGTAGGTTCACAAAACATAAACCCACGAAAACAGTAACTCCAAATTGTGTACTTTTCATATGTAAAGTGGCGTTTATTTTAAGAATTAGAACAGCATTTACCTAAACAATTCTGTTACACGTTATGGTATCAACTGAACTTAACTACAGTACCTCAGGAACTTTCTCAGTGAACAGGTATATCGCATGCTGCAAATCACTTTTTTAATATTAAAAGTACTATACTCGGGAAACGGCTCAAACCCCACTTAACCAGACACTACAAAAATACACGGAAACCCACAAATAAAATGGATTCAAACACTAATATGTTTTAGAAAACGTTATAAAATGTGATATGAGATTTTTCCCCATGTTATTTTGCAACGCACTTCCCCGATAATAATAATAATAATCTCATAACAAAAACGCAAAACAATTTACTTCACGAAGGGAAGAGAGTGGGATAAAATGGCCTCATTCACTTATTTCGGCTGCGAATACGCACCTGTCCCCTGGGGTTGATGTCCATAACATCCTTCGACTTGTGCTCCTGTTTTTCAAAAGAGAGCAATTTATTCTGGTAGCCCTGTAAATTCTTTTCTTCAAGGGTTATCATGACCCTCCAGCATGGTGGAGAGCCTGAACCCCAGTACAGTAGCATTTGTTTTGCCATTGTTTCGACAGTTGCAAAAAACAAACCAAAAACGTATACAGCAAAGACAGTTCTCTCTCTCTCCTGCTGTGTAAGCGCGACAAACGTCAACTAATGTACTACTAACAAAGCTTACACCCTCCTGTGGTTCAGCCAAAGAACACGTAAAGATTCGAGAAAGAACACCAGAAATTCGTATCCTGTTTAATCACAGCTCCATCTACAGTTGAAGGATTAGAAATGACCATAAAACTGTTCTTGTGTTCACCTAACAGCACGTTCAATATAGTACATTCAAGTACATCTTCCTTCACCAGAGTTTTAAAATACATTATTCCAGTCACAAAGAACTCATTTTGTGTCTCACACCCCATTACCACTAAATTGCCACTGTATTTTTTGTGGAGGGTCTTTTTTGTTAGGACAATGACACAAATAACTGTACAGATGAGCAACTCGTTAAAGTGTCATATTTTTGTTATATGTGTCTTTTTATCATGGTAATAGTGAAAATGTGGTATGAATCCACCCACAAATAGTCTGTATTTTAAATCTATCATTTACTTGAGTCATTATGTGTGATACATGAATTTACAACAATAAAACGTAGTAAGGTAGTTCTGCCCACCTATAATAGATTATTGTTTTCCTTATTTTGTAACAGATTTTTTTTCTATGTCAGTAAATTGTATATTTGAATAATTGTTATGGAAGTCAAATTTTAAGACTGTTATGAAATTAGATTTTAAAAAATGACCTGGGGAAATGAATTCACTCACATCTTTCTAAATATGTGAAAGCAAATTAAACCTGCAGATTAATACGGCTCTCAGTTGTTTTTATAAGAAATAATTATTTTGTCATCTGTATCAATATCCTTTTTATTTCTAGTGTCATCCAAAACATAACACATACAGTACAGCGCATTAAAATAATTAGTATGCAACAGGTCATACTGAACCAATCCCCACATACCACAGAGTTTGCCACCAGGGGGGAGAATTTTCATTGTAATTGAAAATCTTTTCAAGAGCTTTCTCTAAAAACACTTGCAGGAATCTGCAGACAAAACGTTTTGAGTTCTAAAATAATTTCTAAGACAGATGAAAAAATGTCAGAGGCGATCTTTCATGAGAAAGTCAATCTGCCAGCACTTTCATGAGTGTTCAGACAGAGGACCAAGCTTTTGGCTTGTCTGGTGCATGAGAAATCCATTCAGAGATGTACCTGAGGTGACGGTTCAAATCCAAGGCTGACATCTTACACTACGTTTACACTTACAATTATTTTGATTAAAATATAGTTTACAGTTTGGAAGTCATGAACAATGGAACAAAGGGAACAACTGTTTTTTTTTATTTAGCATGCATACCCCAAGCTTCTCTCCCTGTCTGTGTGTGTCTCTGTGTCTCATGGAGAGCAGGTTGGGGTACGCGAAAAGATAAATTCCTAATACAAGAAATTGTATATGGCCAATAAAGTGATCTTAATTATTTTTGTGAGCTCTGTACAAACCACAGCACTATATGTCCTCTAAATGAAGTATGAAACGTATTCCAACCTTCATTTTAGAGACATGAGTGTTAAAACTTAAGCATCTTAAATTACTGTTACAAAGCATTAATCAGGACCCTATGCTGACGACAGAATCCGGATGGGAGTGCAACAAACACGGGGAGGAGACGGCGAGGAACTGGGCAGGTTGACGAACAGGAGGGCGTGACGACGGTGCACTGGTGCTCGGTGGGGTGTGGTCCAGGCAAACTAGTCCAAAACAATCCGAAAGGGGAAACCAGAAAGCAGTCCAAAAGTCCATCACCAGGTGATCCATCCAAGACAAAACAAGACGAGGTTAAGAACCGGAATGGGATCTGGTGTAGGGATGGGGAATAAAATGGGGATGACGAGGCCAGGCGCTCTTGAGGTCAGGACACCAATAGAAGACCTATGCCCTCAAGCCGCGGACGTAGAGCACTTGGTGGTAGGCGGGCCTCCGGGCGTCCGTCTTCCAATGCAGAGCCTGGAATAGAGTCTGTCTTATAAGGAGGAGCTGGATTGGAGGCAGATGCACATGATCAAGTAAAATGTGAAAGAGCCGGACGGAGTGCCCTTAAGAGGAGGGATTACAATCGTGACAATTACTTTGCTTTTCCATTTCACCATAGACCTGCCAACTGTGTGGCATTAGAAACCCTGAAAAAAATGCAGGATTTAATGTTGTACTCTCTTCCTTCTTGCTGCCTGTCACGGGAGGCTTAGCATTTCAGGAACGGAGAACTCAGTCTCCCGTTTGGGTTTGTAATTAAGACCCCGTGCGGGGCAGTTTATCCGGAAAGTTTAGGAGATGGACTTCGGGGAAGACACACAAGGTTTATTGAGACAATAGTGATACAGTGGTAATCCATGCCATAGTGAAAAGGGGAAAGATCTGATAACATCCAAATCCATTCAGGTCCAAGGGGTAGCCAGGAATCACTCCAGAGCTCCAGAGCCGGGCAATCAATCAAGACGAGGATGGATTAAAATCCCTGGACTGAGGAACTTGAACAGGGAAACACAAGGCATCTGACAGACACCAGACAAGGCGCTCCAAGCCCCGGGCTCAGAAGTTAGGATGTCTGGGAATAAGGCCTATGCCCTCAGACTTCCTTATAGTCTGGTCGTAGGCGGGCCTTCAGACGCCTTGTTCCAAAGCTGAGCCTGATGCATTGGAAGCACTAGGTTTATAAAATAAAACATTGATTAAACACATGAGAAAAGCAATCAGGGGTTAAACTAAAATTAGTGGCGCCTAAGGGTAAGAGCGCCCCCTGGGGGAGGGATGCCAACCGTGACACTGCCTGACCTATCAAGTCAGTCATTGCAACTGAAAAAATAGCTACTTGGACCCCTTTTCAAGATTAAAGACCTTATCTTGAATTGTAGCTTGTCTCTGTGTGATACATCTGTTAATGGCAGTGGAATGGCTACTGCATTCTCATTTTCAAAAACAAACAGTGAAAATACAGGAAGACTGTCTTTAAAAAGTCACTATAGGTGTTAAGGCCAAGTTCAATATTAAGTTCAAAGCATCTGAACTAGAAAAAAGCTAATTTATGTTATTTGATATTATTTTCTTAAATAAAAAACATTTCTTTTGCATTCACACTTTTCATCATAAAGCATTACCCTCCCTTCACACATAAATATCTGTACATCTTATTTCTCCCTTGCTTGTCAGTGAGATATTCCAAATCCAAGCAATATTTTAAACATATGACTCTATCATTCATAGAAAAGATGAAGACCATTGTTTTTTGCTTTTTGAGCAAAAGAAGCCACAAATAAAATACTATAATTTAATAATTATCAATTCAGATTTCTGAGATGATCAAGTCCTTGTTTCTTCATTCCATAACTAATGATAGTGAAGCAGAGTCATTATTATATCTGCTTATACCAGTAATTTGACGTAGAAAATCTAAAGAAAACTGGATAAGCTACTGTATATACTGTAAAATAAAATTGTATTGTGGTATACAATGCATAGAAAAGCATACAGCAATATAATAAATCATGATAGTTATTATAGGAGGCCATTGTAAACCGGAAAATCAAATAAAATATGAATTTATCGCAGCAAATGTTTCAAGATAATTGAGTAATATTTGCTGTGGGCTCTGTTTAGACTCCTGTTTCAAGATCTATTTCGCTTAGAAAGATTTTGAAGCCTCTCAGGCACAGGGCTGCTGTGGATGTTGATTTTCCTCTCTAACAAGAGAATATTAGAAAGACTGAGATTGCGCCAACCAGTGCATTAAGAAAAGAGAAAAAAACAAACTATGGATAAGATTTAAAAAGCACTGAAAAATGAACCTGTCTCGGAATTTATGAGGGTAACTCAGTATTTCTCCAGAATTCCCCATGATTGGTATTTTCATCACATTTCTAAAGCCATATGTATTCTGTAAATGGGGCAAAGCTTGTCTGTAATCAATGCCATAGCCCTCGATCAGAGAATAAAATGAAGGAAGACTAGTATATAGTGAAGAAAATTACATAGCAAAAGCATAGTGATATGATTTGCCTGCAGCAGAGACTCCATTACACACACAAAATAACAGAGGAGCTTGACTTGGCCACAAATCAATTTGGAGAAATACTCCTTTTATTTAAAATGCTTAGGCAGATTGGCTTCTTTATATCATTATGCAGCACATTTGACCACTTTGCTTTGCTCTAGTATTAGTCCAGGATTAGTTCTGAACCACTGATCTCTACGGTAGATTGTGACCACAGCTTTTCAATGACAATTTGGTTTTAATCAAAAAAGCACAAATGATACAACATCAGGGAAAAGTTGTAATTTTAATGAGGTTTGGCTCCAGAAAAAGGGCAAAGAAAGCAGGCAAATACAATGAAACTGATTGCTTGGCATTGCAGAAAGGCACTTTCATGTCAATGTAGTTAAAACTGTTGAAAACAGTACAGATAACACTTATAACATAAGCTATTTCAGTTGGCTTCCATACTAGATTAGAAAGACCACTTTTAAAAGCATCTACACTACTTGTGCATGTGTATAATACAGAACACTAGAGAGAAATGTTTTTTTTTGTTTCTCCCTAATTGCACATTTTACAGTACCATGAGCAGACAGTATCTTAAATGAATATGACCTTAAAACTGATCCTGACATCAGAGTGGTTTTTAATCCTACACAGTATTTGCTTGTTACATAGGTAGTTAGTTTTAATTTCTACTTTATATACAGGTGAGAATGGTATAAAAAGGTTCTGAACCTAGAATACATTTGAAACACCAAATAAGTGCAGCAGCAATAGTCTATTGCTTTTTCTCATCTTTCAAGTATGGTTTTTTTTTATCTAAATGCTATTGGTTCCCATCATGATTCGTGCTGATTGTAAATATATATAACTCCTGTATATAAACATATAACTGTATTACTTGCCTTCGTGGAGACCTCAAGTGCAGTCAGCAGAAGGTTTCCTCACTCTAATCACCACTAAAATTCATGGGTTATTTACAATTTGAAGCTTTTTGTTTCCATTTTTAATAGCTAATGAGCCTTATGATATTTTTTGTCCCAGGGGTGTCACACTGGAAGAGTTGTCTTGCACCTTTTTTAAACAAGTGAGAATTGCCAAGT